AATAAGCTGGCGGGCTAATATTCAAGTGATCCATTTTAGTTAACACCCACCTAAGTGGGAATACTGTATCAGAACCACATCAAAATAATCTGGTATAAACTTGCTTTGGTGACTGATGTTCATATCCGACAGCAGGACAATCTCGAATCTTACTAACATGTGACACCAGGCTTCAACATTACAAAGCTAAATAATGATATGGGTGCTTCACTCATACTAGAATATGAGAAAGGTCTAAATACAGTATATTTCAAATTCAAGGTATGTGAGGTAGTTCAGTCATTTTAACGAAAGAAAGCACCAGTGACAACAATGGTATACTGAGTCTACTTGATCTCTGGGTCAGGGGGTATTTATATAGATCATAGGAAAATGACAGCAGATTTATTGTGCACTTTTCACTACTCTTTACGTAGATGTCAAATACTGAATTTCATTTGTACCAGACATTGGAAAGGCAGTTTTCGGATCACTAGAATAATCTTTACCATGACGCTAACCTAACCCAACCCATCCTAATCTATACCCTCATCCCCCAAATAGCGTTAGGGTAACCTAAACTATTCCAAGCCTTGATATGCGGTGTATATCTAAAAAAGTTACATGACCATCACTTTATCACATGATCCCGTTGTGTGCGTATCTCAGCGGACAGGTTACATCACTGCCATCAAGTAATACACCTGGGTGTAGCTTTATAATGTGGTTCACCCCCTCGAAAAAATGTCCAATGTACATAGACGTTTCCAGTCATTATTCTGACGAAATGAAACACTGTGCACCCGACAGTGCTAGCCAGTATCAGCTCTCCTCGCCTATGAGAGCTTCTTGGTAGGACTAAAGTCTTTTATGTTAATATTCTAACTCATAGATCGCCTGCCCACCAGAATTTCTTTATATTCCAATTAGCGTTTTCGGACTCCACGCCACTAACATAATTAATCAGTCTGGCAAAGTAGAACCAATGCTCGCATTGGAACTCTCGTCAAATAAAAAAAACCCAGTTTACTGGGAAGAACATTTTGCGTATAACTTTAGATTTCACAGTTAACTAGTAGAATCATTATATTTTTATATAGCCAGATACAAGGTGAGATGTACTTACTGTACCTTAGATCTTTGTGGTCCGTGACATGATGCCCACCAACTCACATCGTGGGTTGACTCGTGAATATTTCAAGGTAGAGCCGCAGCGTTTGATGGCGTCAACTCGCTCCCCCGTGACTCTTGTCCTTTAAGTAAAATAAACTCGCTGATACAAAGGAATACCGAGTACATTATAAGATCAAAACCAGCATTTTGAGGTTCTTTTTCTTGCATATCCATAATCTCTTCAGATAAAAAAATGCATTATTTTCAAACAAAATGCATACGAGGCACTCATCAATCTGTTAGTTTGAGGTTGTTTAGTTAAGTTTATGTTTGGTTAATATTTTCATACTTTAATCACCAAAATAACCTCTTAAACAACCCAACACAAACAGCTGCTGTTCTTCACAGCTGAACTGGTTCCCGTTGTTGTCACTAACTATGACAAGTTGACAACAGGTGTGCATCCCAGAACAAAACCTCCAGTAAGTAACACCTAAAATTTAATCCTGTAATAAAATAATGCGGATGTAGTAGCTATAAAAAAAATATTATCATTAAAATAAATAACCAAATAATACTAATATTATACCTAATACAAAAAGAATGTTACCTTTTACAAAATTTCTATGACATTAAAATAATCTCCGCACTACTTTATATTAATTTAAGTATATATAGAATCTGAGCTCATATTATACATTTCCCGCAAATTGGCCAATAAATCCATCAATGAGAGAACATAATTCGAGATTTTTTCTAACAAGTTCAGACAGAAACAACGATTTTCATCTATGACACTTCTGGCGCATTTTATAAATAACCGAGATATAGAACTGAAAATCAGAACACTACCTGGTACTAGGAAAACTCCGTATTGTTGCATTTATTGCCATCAACCTAATCCCGGGATTTTTTCTTTGCAAATAATAGTTTAGACAGTGCTGACATTGTGGCGTTTTCTGCTGCGTGCCGTCGTAAAAAGTGTAGGTATGCCTGTGTAAATAATATTATGTGTGTTTGCACAGTGTATTTTTACAGTATATTTGTGTGTGTGCATGATTACAAATGTCAGCAATCAATATGAACACCTCTTTTCATCCGGATACTCTCAGATCAACATTTTTACAGCTGACTAAAACAATAACTTTTACTGTGGTAAGTGAGTTACTATTGATAACAAAAACTATGACATAAAGTTTATTTTGTGGTTGGATGTTGCTTATCTGTAACTGACACGTATATATGAATGCACCTGTATGATAGTTGAGTATGTGTGTATATGCAAGTGTGTGAGTTATGTGTTTTTGTGTGTGTGTGTGTTATGACGGACATGTTGATGTTTTCCTGGGTCATTATTTATCCCTCAAACAGAATTTTTTTCCTCATTGTTTTTGCATTTTCCAGAATTTCTTCAGCTTCACTATATAAAATTTCATAAAATACATACCATCTCAAAGCTATCTCTCTATTCTCAAAATGTTCACTCTCCTTTATTTGCTTTACCAATTTATTTAGTTTTGACATTTGCCAATTTTGTTTTCAAATTTCCAAACATCTTTCTTCTTGTTCATCATCGTATTATTTTTTGTCTACCCTCATAAGTTTTCTTCCCAGATTTTCAATTATTTATGATAAATTCTATCTACGATACTGCACGTAGTCCCCAGTAAGTATAACGCCAGAGGACAACAGTAGGCTGAACCACAGAAGATTGGGTCGATATTGGCGTCGTCTTCACGGCAGCGGGCCGCTGTCAGTGTGGATTGCATACAGCGTTGCGGAATGAGGTATAAAAATTTCAGACTTTTTGAAAAGATACAAGCACTGAAAGATTGCATCCGTCAAATTTGAGGTCTGGATTCGTACCTCAAATTTGACCGATTTGACAAATTTGCAAATTCCCCTCCCAAAAAACTATGGATATTTTACGCCCCATTCCGCAACGACGTATTTTTAATCACCAATTAATTCACAATTATTTACTTCGATAAATGTATATTTAATCAGATATTTATTCTGACACATTTCTCTCATTTTAACCATAACCGAGATATATTGTTGATAGCACTAACCAAACCTACCTAACATTACCTAACCGGTCGGCCCTGTCTCCCAGACCTCGGCATACTAAATATCTCGGTTCTAGGTCGTTTGCGAGGGAAACGTTATAAGAACATAAGAAAATAAGGAGTCTGCAATAGGCCGGTTGGCCTGTGCATGGCAGCTCCTGTCGAGAGTTCCTCTATCATCCATGAATCTATCTAGCCTCCTTTTGAAACTTTCCAGAGTTCCCGCACTTACTACAAAGTTGCTAAGCTTGTTCCACTCGTCCACCACCCTATTTGTGAACCAGTTTCTTCCTATCTCCCTCACGTCCGTGACTCGTCCAACTGTATAGCAAACATAACAGTTGGAGACGATTTAATCTTCTTTATCACTTATTCCATGATATCATCTGACATTTCACTAATTCTCCGTTTCACCGTGTCGTCTGACAAGGAAATCTGCTGAATCTTACGTTCACTTGCCTCTCCAAGAACCCGCTTGACCATCTTTAAAGCGCACGGCTTAATTAAAGTTTCACCAATCGTGTGGGCCTCCTCCTTCTTTGCTATTTCAATGGAAACCTCATATGATGCCTCAACTACACTTCAGTTCTGTTGTTGGAAGGCACCACTCTCATCCAGTCTCTCTTTTCCCAACCTCCGTTCATGGCGTTTGAAGAAATCGAGGTCTCTCTCAGCATACTGGGGGGTGGATTGTCGTCAGATGATGCTTCACCTTACTAGGCCTCATGGAATCGCTCCCCAGCACTTTGAAACACAACACACACTGAGGTTTCTCGATGCCATCAGCGAAGATTGATATAAATCCGTACTTTGTACTTCAGCTTCTTAGCAACACTGGCAGCCATCGCAAATCCAAGGAAATTAAAAAAAAAACAATGCCAAACAGACAGAAACAGACGAATGATAAAGACTAAAAATTATAATAATAAAAACAGAAATATAAGACAATCATGAATCTCTTGGTTTCACTAAAAAAATCATTTCTCACTCTCTCTCTCCCTCTCTAAATGTTGACTAGTTCTTTAAAAACAATGTCAGACAGAAACAGACGGATGTTAAAGACTAACAATTATAATAAAAAACAAAAATGACACAATAATCGGAATGGCAAACACACAAACATGCATAAAGTACAGGTACAGTACATGCATACTGTATGTAAACAAACATAAAAAGCCAATCACACGTAAAACATACACATACAGTCCACTCATATATTAGCATGATATCTTGAGCCAGACTGAGAACATTCGGTCCGATCACCACTTGTAAAGCGATGACACATGGACATTACTGAGTCCAGCGCCCGTCACCTTGACTGGAACTAGAATCATGCAATCTGAGCAAATCCGTTGGAAATGAAAAACTAGCTGCTGTACCATGCTATGTAACTATCAAAGCTGTACCGTACGGGTATTATGATTCCACACAATGACAAAAAAAAGAAGAAAAAAATCTCCCCTAACAAGGCAAAGTGCGAAGAAAATAAAGGTAAATTTAATTCACAGTAAATGATTAACAATGGGCTCTTTATTAATATGGAAATATAAATTTCAGAAGGATTAAGATTACTAAAAATACTGAGAAATACAAGAAAGTATTTGTCATTGGTTATAATATATGAAAATAACGAACTTATGACTAAATCGTTCTATTATTTTGTTATTCCTTTAGCAATAATTGTTTGAGAGAATATAAATTTAATATGGAAAAATATCAACTAAATTTTTTAAAGAATATTAAAAAAAAATTTCATTAATATCAAAGTTCAGAATACACCAATAAAGTAAAAGGAAGGTAAATAAATATACTAAAGGTAGTGTGAGGTGAGGAGGCACACTCACCTCTGCCTCAACATCAACACAAGACTGTTCATAGCGGGAGTCTAACGTCTGTTTTAAAAGAGGCTTCACATTAAAGTTGTTATTAAGTACTGTATTAGTTCTTGTGGACGACTGTGTATTTGGGCTCCAAGATGACTAGGTTTGCGTCCTTCGAGAAACTTGTCGTCCGTAGAGAAATAGGATATGTGTGTGATGAATCAGCAATGGTGAATTTGACCACCCAGGGAACCTACGACGGCGCAATGTTTAAACTAATTACTAAATGTGAGACCAGTATGTTGATTCTCTCGGGGCATCACTCGGTGGATCAGTTTACGGTTGATGTAGTTGTTAGAGATAGTCCTAATAAGGGCCAGGGAGCCAGTAAGGGTCGTAGTCGAGTTCTGCCAAGTGTAGCAGACCTTGACAGGATTGAGACGTTGGCAGACGCCTGGCAGAAATGTGAGGCTGAAGGATTGCACGGGCTACAGGTAGTGGCGCTGATAGATAAGTCGTGCATGCCAGATAACGGCTGCCAGGAAAAGTACACGCTGGCACAGTTCGTCAACTCCATCATCCACGGCATCGAGGCTTACTTCATGTTTCAGAAGCCAAACCCTTTTTTTGTCTTGAACGCTGCAAACTTGTGGCAGGCCTTTGAAGAACTCAGAATGGAGAGTTGTTACCTCATTATGGCATGGAAGATGAAGGAGGACCCCAGGAAAGGTAATACAGAACTCAGAACGGTAAAACTATTGTAAGAGCTGGCAGCTCGTAGACAGTTACAGCAAACAAAGTTTTCTTGGAATCATAATGTTGCTTTAACTATTTGGTTTTCATATGTGAGTACAGTACTGTATCATTTGTAGGTTTAGAGGGTCAGTACATTAATAAATTGATGTCAACTATAATTTTTGCAGTAATGAACCAATGTATTGGTGAATTTGGGTATACTATTATTGCTTAATGATCCTTTGTTCCTCAGGTCAGAAATAATTCACTAGTCTTGGGGAAAAGGGTCAGTTATTCACGGTCATCAGGCTTTGTCGGTGATAACGTATTTCGACTCCTTAACCATTTTTTGTGTTATTTTTAATATGGTACAGTACCTTTGTGTCTTGTGAATTCGCTAATAATCTAGTGGAGCTTCTCTGGAACTTTACAATCAATAGAATACTCAGTAAAATTGTCTCTTAGGTTCAAACCCTTAATTATGGTGTTTCTTTTGAAGTTAACCTAAGACCTTAATGTTCTAATGCATAGGACTTAAATCCAGGTAGGGATCAAACACAATTAACTTTATTGAACTCCCATATTTTATTTCAGAAGCACTATCACGAATATCCCTCACCCAGCTGAGCAGTGCGACTCCCACAATAAAGAACAACAGGAGAGAACAAAGTGCAATTACCCAAAAGTCAGTTGCTGTAGATAATGTGGCTCAGAAGAGAAAATCCTTACCAGCAAAGGCTCAGGCAAGGTACTCACAGCATACCTGAGTTATTGATATTCGTACCTGTGCAGTACTGGAGTTTATACTGGCATGATACTTGCATACCTATTAATAATATTTTGTAGAGTTAGAAGTAAGATTAGATATAGCAGGAATTATGTTTTGTTTTAATATACTACTGTATATGTAGGTATATTTAACAACTTAGAGGATAATTTTATAAGCGTATTAAAGTCTTTTTTTCCTAGAAATGCCTTCAATTCTGTGTACAGTATTCACTCTCATTTATTCCTCTCTTATTGTAATTTGTAGTCCAGACCATCAGTCATTCCTTCATACATTTACTACTATGCTATTGCCTGATGGTAAATGTGTCTTGAGTTGAGGTGACATTTTGCTGGGTTAGGGATTAGGTTCATCTGTAGCCCAGACTTGTTTTACTTGACCTTGTGACTTGCTTATACAGGTACTCCTCGACTTACGACCACCCGGATATACGACCGCCGCAGTCGTATAAAATATTTTTCAAATTACGTATTTTCGAGTCCCTACGTTAGTGATTGCGCTGTGTACTGACAAAATTTTCGTTTGTAATTCCCTTTAAAATGACTGGCAAGTGTAAAAGTGAGAGTTCTCGTGGTGCTGAGAAGAAAAAGAGACACCCATTTTAGATTTTCTGTATATTATTTTCGACTTACGACCTGGTCGTCGGTTCCTAACCCCTTCGTAAGTCGAGGACTGACTGTATATGAAACATTAATTCTTCATTGAATTTCTAAATACAATTATTATTATATATATCAGTATATAGTAGGTGTATAAATTTTATTAGTTTTCTAAATTTTCAGCGAGCCGGTCGGTGTTGTTAAACGAGGGAGGCGCAGTGTAGCACCTCCTGTTCAGCAAGAACATGAAGACGTCAGCACTGATGAAGATAATGAGATTACTTTCAAGACGCAGCCTCCCCAAGTTATAATGCCTCAAGTTAGATATATGCCAGTATGGGTATTATGATCTTTGTTGACTTGTAGGCAGACGTAGAATTCTATAAGATGATGATCTTTTTATTTTATTCATTTTTAATTTTTTTTTATATTTATATATTTTTATTTTTTATTTTTTACAAATGCTAATGGTACAAATATTTATAATATGTTCCACTTCAATATTAGTAGGAAATTTAAATGACAAGGTTGACTTCTAGGGGTTTTGAATTCCAATGTTATACAGTCACATTCAAATGTTAAATGTGAACATGCTTGTTAAGTTTGCATTATACATCATTTTTGAGATACATCATGCATTTGCCCATTAGAGAAGCAGACTCCAACACTAATGAGGTGGTTGCTTTGAAAGCCAATCTGTCAGTACATATGCTAGAAGGAACCTTGAACTAGTTCTCTTGAATCAAGCAACCAGACAATGAACCTGTCTTCCTCCCATTCTTCTATTAGTGGTTGTTCACTAAACTTGTGTTCATCGTGGAATTTTTTAAGGAAGTTAAGTTGTCACCTGCCCACAGTTGGAGTTTGCTGCATAACCTTGGTTCAACAAGGTGAATAGCTGTTTACAGAATTTGTACTGGTCCAAATGGACAGTAGCTATGCCTTCCTCACTAGCACAGTCTAATGCATACAATGCATGCTTCGTTGAGGGTTGTTACAGTGGCTAATTTTATTGATGTGGTTTCTAAATCAAAGAATCATTTCCTCCATTCTCGTTAAAAAAAAGAAGGGGATTAGAGGATTGAGCGTCCTCTCTTTGGTGGAGAGGGAGTGGGCTTTTGGGATGTACACTATCTCTCAAAACTGTTTTCCTCTCCCCTTTTCTCATGGCCTTTCCTTCCAAGACTTTCTAATGTAATGAAAATGTATTTAGTTTTATTAAAAGTTAACTTATTTCCTACAGGATATGTCACCCAAGAAAGTGGAGGCTGTGGTAACAGAGACAGCAGCAAAACAGCAATTAGAAGCAGCAATTGGAAATATCACATTAGGTTTTGAGAGGTAAGTAATATACCGGTATTAAAAATATTAACCCTTTGATTGTGGTTGTACTGTATATGGAACAGTCACAATGAATGGGTTAATGAGTATGTTCTCTGATGTCTGAATGGTAATATTTTAGTTAGCAATGCAGATAATATGATTCTCCTAGTGTTTTGTTGTTCAGAAGGGATGACCCATTCTTAAAGTGAGTAATAACCCATGTAGTTATATATGTTAAATGGTTAGATTTATCAATATTTTTCACATAATCCAATTTTCCATAAGTCCTATTGCTATTCACGAGAGCTTCAGTTTTGGTTTAAATTTTAAATTGGGAGAATGTCTTCAATTTAGGTGTCAGTTACACTTACAAGAGCTATGCCATGGTTGGATGTATGAATAATGTGGACTTTGAATAGTTCAGACAAGGAAGAGTTATCTGATGTTTTTCTCTATAGGTCGCAGCCAAAAACTCCTGGGCGTAAGAGTTCTGCACGGAAGAGTTTGATGCCAGAGTGGCCAGTGGACCAAAAGGAAGATGTACTTAACTTCTTTGATAATCTCAACCCCAATCAAACAGAGCAAACTTGTATAGCTCTCACCTGCAAGTAAGTATAATGTACTTTATGTCTGTCTGATATGAGTGTTTTAACTATGGGGTATGTAATTACCGGTAAGTAGGTGATTTTTTGGTCTGAAACAGATTTCCCATATTTCATTTTCTTCCCATTGTACACATAAATAATCCTAAATATTTCCCACATTAATTGTATTGCTGAAATATTGTAAGTCCAGCCTAACGATGTGTCTATTTTCAGGTTTGCCTCCATGAAGTACGACCGAGAGCTGCCCTCAAAGTTATTGTACCAGTGGGTTCAGAAGAAGGGACGTGAAGTGCAGAAAACAGTTCATAGTTATGATTTGCCGAAACAAGAACAAAATGACACGATGGTAAATTTCTTCAAATCACTCGACCCCGACCTATCAGAGACAAGCCGGGTTGCTTTTACGTGCAAGTTTATACAAACCCAATTTGGCATTACTGTCAACTCTAAACAGTTGTACAGTATGCTGAATGACAAGGGTAAGAAAACAACCAGACGTCGTTAGCGTCACTTTAGGTGAATTCTGGCAGGTACACTTCAAATTTTTATTGCCTGAAGTAGTGCAAATTTCATGACAAGCTTTGTGTTTACATAGATGTACAGTATGGATGTAATTCTATGAAAATTATTCACAAGTGGAAAATTCCAGTGATGATAACAGGATTATAAGTTTGAATGTGTGTGTGTGTGTGTGTGTGTGTGTGTGAGTGGACATGATGAATGTTTTTTATATTTCTGTACTGGTTATTGATGATGACAAGGAAAGTTCATATTTTTAGCTGTGTATATAAAAAAGTGTTTTTGATACAAAGTTGCTCTTAATTTTTATGAGGTGATATATTTGTAATGTCAATTCATTATTTTTTAGGAAAATCAATAACCATTTAGGGGATTTAGAGATAAGATTTCTTCAGACAAGATGAAAAATTATTTTGTTCACTTTTTCCGTAATGCCAGAAGGTTTTATGTGTAAATGCTGTCTAATATTGCTTAACACTAATAGAGGTCTTGTAGTCTGTCACTAAATAAGGTTACCACTTTTTAGCTCAGAAATTTTAATGAATTACTATTGATGCATTGCTTAGTTCTGTCTTCTCGTGCAAAAGATTATGATTTTTAATATTTCTCATACAAAGTGAGTGAACCGTAACAGTGATACAGTACCTGTACAGTACTTTTTGTTTTGTTTTGGTTTGGTTTGCTTTAAGAATAATTTTTAATATTGAAGCAGTTGAATTTATTATAGGTCATATACACTATACAGTACAGTACAGTACTTGAAAGATTAAAAGAAACGTTTTTATTTCCATGTAACCAACCTGCACTTTATTATGTATACTATATTTTAATATCTTCATTACTTAATATGTCGATCAGACAAGTTTCATATTCACAAAATTACTCTGGAGAGTCATCTCATTTTCATTTAAATCTTTAATAAAGCTATGGAAGCTTTGAGTTTATATTTATAACCTATAGAGACAAATTTGCAGTATCATGTTAACACTACCGGGGTGTTGTATAGGTACTGATTCAAATGTCTAAGGTTGATAACATCCATATCCTACAGTGTGTGTTTATGAGTTTTTCCATCTATAATATGTGTTGTTTTATGGGATATTGTACAATATTTTATCTGTATAGTGTGTGTGAATTTCATCCATCGAGTGTGTTAATGGTTAAACAATTAATAGCTGTTATTCCAATAGCTATTATAAGTCCAATTGTATCTTCAGTAGAAAAACATTCGAATTAAGCCAAAATCCTTATTATATTGATCTGAATTAATAAGTGAACACTTTGGATATTTACGTGGAGACTGTACAGTATAACATTGTTGTGTGCATTATAACCATTTGTTCTTTGACTACCCACTCCTTTGGTTAGAAATTTATTTACATCACTCCAAGTTCAGTATATTCCAGTGTTAAAATACTGTACGTATACAGTATAGGGTAACCTGCATTTGCAAATAATCTACAAATATGTGACCTAGATACAGTAAAAAAACCATAAGTCGGCATGGTACCAGGTAACCATTACAATTTTTGGGTTTTTAGTAAATTGGTGCTGAGTCAGCAGGAGCCAGGTCTGCCTAGAACTTGGCAAGTCAGCCCATTGAGCATCAGCTTACATGTGCCTCTTATCATTGGGTATAACTTCTGACTGATTAAGTGCCTGTGAAGTGTTACTGTACAGATAGTGCTAAGTGTTATGTATAAATTGCACAGTACATACAGTAGTGTTAAGTTATCAGAACAATTATACTGTATTTTGCTGTACTGTACTGTACAGTGCCTGTTATGTGTTGCACACAATACAATATAGAGTACTGTACAGTTTGTCTGCCTCTTACAAGCTCAATAAGAAATTGCCCCTTGCTGTTGGTATGTACCTAATACAACTCTGCATTTATTTCATTATATACATACTGTATATAGGCTCATTCCCGGTAAGTTGGTCAAATTTGATTACTCGGCAAGGTCTCGGCACCATGCGAGCCGAGTTATGGAGGTTTTACTGTAAATGCAAACTCTGTAAGCCATGCAACAAATTTTTTTCATTGGGTTTGTGTATTCCTGAATCGTATATAAAACACACAATAACTGTTATGATACAGTACAGTATTAAGAACACGAGTCAGTGAAATTAGTCCCACTTTGTACTGTATAAAACTGACTTAAACAGTGATAGAATTCATTCCAACATTACTTTAGGTAGTAGCACAATACTATGTTGTATACACTGTAACTCTTAAACAGCAACCATCATCAGTGGAAGTTAGTTGTAGGGATGGTAGCCATTATTAGTGGAAGTTAGCTGTAGGGACAGTGGCAGACACCTATAGGAATAGCAACCATTGTCTGTGGAAGTTTCAAATTCCCTTGGTTCCATTTTTGTGCATATAGGTGAGTAAAGAATCCTCACACCACTTGAGGTTTAATAATTTGTAAAATTTCAAGCAACTAATTGTGATTTTACCAAAAAATATGTGTTCCTATTTTTCCAAGGATCATATCCCAAAGGGTTTACAATCTTCACAATTTAAACATTTCAATAAAAGTGCTTTCTTGCTTTCTAAAGTTCACAGACAATCATGTTAAAAACTATACACACACACAATGATGCCCTAAAGTAGTATGTTTTGTATACCAAGTTCATTACCTGTCCAAGGAGTATAAATAATAAACAATGAACCATTTACATTTTATGAAAATTCAATAGTATAAAAATTATAACAATTCTCAGCGAAGAATATGGCACATACATTTAAAAACCTTATAATAAAACTGAAAGAATTTATACATCAGGGATTACTTAAAATCCATGTCATTACATTCACTGTCACTGGTTTGACTAGATTAAAAAGCAAGTCTGTGTCTCAAGGTGATACATTTTTTTCTATTTACTGTATTGAGAGTTCTTTGTTCTTTTCATATACAAAACATTAACATTTACAGAAAAGAAGTTCAGTACTGCATAATATGTTCAAGGTGAAATTACTGTACTTCTTTTCATAAAATTAATAATAGCAGAATTACAATATAACAGAAGATCTACTTTTCATTGTGTCAGGAATGGAAAGATGTGGCAAGATGAAATGTATTTTCTACTACATCGATGCACCATACTGTCTTTTCCACAACACTTTTTTGTCTTTTTATTAAGAATCTGAGAACTGCAATTGCTGCAATTTATATACAACAGTACACTTTGCATGAGCTTCCCAACAACAAGGAAAGGAGATAGATAACAGGAGTTCTTTTCTGGTTTTATGTCTGTCTATATACATGTCACTCCTGATGATTTTGTCTGATGGTACACAGGGTTTCAATGTTCATTACAGTACACATCAAATAACAAGACTCATATATGTATCAGTTTCTGGTGTTTCTTATTATCAATGTCTTCTCATTTCTTGTAAAAAAAAAAAACTTGTCGCTATGTCAGTTTGTATTTTTGCATTACAAATCAATCACTTTTCACTTCACAACACAGTACAGTCACATCATCTTTATCTCAAATATTCCAAATGCATGTAACTGAAAATTATCACCCAAGATTGGAACCTGTTCCACCAGCTAACTTCCAATAAGTCTTTAAAAACTATGTTGAATATCACAAGAAGATACAGTGTCTTAAACACTTGAGATGGAGATGGCCCTTCATAAGGGTCTCTAGCACCAACGTAAGACTGAAAGACTGGGCAGGCCAATTTTGCTAGAAATTAAATATAGTGTCAGAGTCGAGGTCAGCTCGGAGATGACCATTCCCATACGAGCCGTGGCTGGACCGTTTGATGGTGGCAGTGTCGAAGTCTTTCAATGGTAAGTTTGTTATGGCTGCTCTTATCCCACTCTTAATGCTGCCATTCTTGATAGTGCTGCTTGGAGACTGTTCTCCCTTCCACTCAGCTCCTGGGACACTAACATAATGATTAGGTTTAGCAGAGATGTAGTGAGGGGAGGATGGTACTCTTCTGTGGTGGCGGCGTACACACACATGATAAGTGGCCAAGGCACCAAGCAGTGCTCCAGCCACCAGACAAGCCAAACAGGATCCCACCAGAGCCTGTACTGATACTGTGCCGCCTCCACCACCACTACCGGCACTCATCACAGTTGCTTCCATTGTTGTGGCATCAGCTGAAACACAAACAGAACAATGTAAGTAAATGTTCAGTAGATCATTCCTGTAGTAGCCATACTGTAAGTGCAGAAATAATTTATTTTTTTCACATGTTTACATTATTTCTATGCAAGCATATTACAAGCAATTTTCTCTCTTATATATTTTGAAATATTTAACACATTATTAGTTGCTACATGTAATGAATTTATTATTTATATAACTAATAACATGTACATAAAACACAATTCAATACTTAATATTCAAAGAGTGGAATACTGTTTGAAATTTGGACTTACAATTTTTATGTTTGCAAGATTCCCTCTGGACGTCCAGCCCACGACATTGGCTGGGTTGATCCGAAAGACAGTGTCGTTTTCTTACTCGCTCCTCTCCACCTCCACAATCTGACCACACTGCCCACATGCCCCAACCTTCTTCACCTGCAACAGTTTAAATAAAAGTTTTTAATTTTTCCAAGCCATTTACCACATAATATATGGTGACTAGAAATATGACGGCAGTATACTGTATATATATGTCAATGTATACATGCAGTTCTTCATTACAGGTATTTATTATATTTCATTTACTCTCAGATATAATTGATCTGTTTTGCTGTACTTTAATATAATACTCCATAAAAGAAAACTAATAGCCTCAATCATGTATCTTCTGACAGCTGAATCATCAATGAATTCACAACCTGTGTTCACTTACCTATACAGGCATCCTCATGGCATGATTGTTGCATTGTGTGAGAGCCAGTGCAATCAGAGGCGTCAATGAAAGGGTTCTGGGAGGCAACACACCGACGTGTGCGGTACTGCACTCCTGAACCACAAGTGGCTGAACAAGAGCTCCATTCACTCCAGCATGCCCACAAACCTGTACACAAAAGAATTTTCAACTTATACAGTTAAATTTCCTATTTGGGCAAATAGGATATCTGGTGCACTACTATAATGTCTGATCACTATAATATATCAAATTTTTACCTCCTGCATTGCTCCAAGATGTAGATTCACTCAAATAGATGACCTTGAGTATCATTCACAATATATTTCCTAGGATATATGCACCATGTTACTCCATTTCTATGCTGTAGAGAATATACTGGAGTCTGATAGTTTCAAGTCAGTGCAAAATCTGTAGTAATACTGAATTGATATATTCTGGGAGACAATAATTACCTTTTAATTACAGAAAAAATTATTCCTGAGAAATATATATGCAGTATATATTTTTTTTAATTTTATGAGTAAGAGTAGCATTGTCTCACCTCTGCAGGAATGTTCATTGCAAGTTCTCTCTAGTGAAGATGTTCCGGTACATGAACCAACGGTACAAGAGCGATGACGGTACTGCCGCCCGACACCGCACGGTTCATCACACTTGGTCCAGTCACTCCACTCTGACCAACCACTACCGTCTGGAGAGTCTATCTGGTGGGAATCGCCGCACCAACCTTCTTTTGTACAGACCCGATCCTCTTGACTCATTTTCCCAAAACGTAATGGGTTGTCCTTATCTCCTGTTGCTACACATTCCATTCTAAAACGTCTCTGAATAGCCGAGTCTCCAGAGGCATTTAATCTTAACCATGGAGTCCAAGATGTGAGTTTACTTGTCTCAGGACAAGCCCAGTTCCCACAAGTCTCAGTATCTTTCTCACAACCTGGACACGGTGATCCTCCATTCTTTGGTGACGGCCGAGAACATGAACGCTGCCTCTGCCTGATACCATTACCACATGTAGCGGAGCATCTTCCCCATGACCCCCACTCACTCCATCCACCATCCACAGGTGATGCTCTAAATGCTGTTGAATGAGGGGATGTCAAATTATTGCACTTATCACCATATATCAACTTTGTACAAATTTAAGGATACTATACAGTATTATTCACAAGAACATTACAATGCCTGTATTTAAAAATTAGATAAAAATAGAATTCTTACAACTTAAAATAGTATCACTACATGATTAATAAAAGTAACTTACACGGGCAGTGTGCAAGAGAGTGGCAGTAGATCTCATTACGCTCATTACCAACACATACACGGCCACCATGCTTAGGTTCAGGGTTAGAGCATGTGCGACGCTGTGTCTTAACAGCAATGCCACATGTGGCTGAACACTGAGACCATGAAGACCAGGCAGTCCATCCACCATGTACTGTGCAGTTGGTTACCTAAGTAAAATATAAACAATGTAAAATTATGGATTACACGAGATGTTCACACACACACACGCACACAGTATATAATATATATATATATATATATATATATATATATATATATATATATATATATATATATATATATATATATATATATATATATATATATATATATATATATATATATATATATATATATATTTATGATTGTTTTACATACACACAAACATAACACAAAAATGTAGTCACCTCTGTGTGTGATCCAGTACAGTCAGCACCACCATGTGACGGCTTAGGGGAGTCACAAGCTCGATGACGACACAGGCACGAATCTCCAGTTCCAGTCTGAACACACGGTGACCACTGTGACCAGCGACCCCATTTTCCATCCACTGTAGTGACAGACAAGAAAATGAAAAAAATAAGCAGTTATATATTCTGAATTTACTTCTGTACAGTATTTTACCAATAACCACAATGAGAAATTAATATACTGTAATCATCATCCCAATTCCTCTTTTAAATAATAAACTTATCAATTTACTGTACTGTACAGTGCTTATTTTTCTCTTTGTACATCCCATTTGACTCCCAAGTTAATTGGGAGGGGCTGAGACAAAAGGACAAAAAATAGTTTAGGATTATTCACAAAGAGACTGACCTCAGCACTAAGAACTAGCGATACTAGTCAAGTAATGACATGATATCTACTATTGAGGGAACTTTATTATGTTAAAACTACTGGACTACTTTACTCACAGCATTATGATTATATATGCTCATAAAAATTTTATTTTCATTTATGTAGGTGCATGTTAACAAGGTTAGAGAATCTGAAAAAGATAAAGATTTTTAGCAATTTGGTAAAAACATATTTTCTTTATGAATGACATGCAAATTTAAAATAAATGATTACTTCTAGACTAAACAGCTGCAACAGGAATCTGATGACAAATATTGTACTGGATACTTTTTTCCCTCCATACCTGGATCAGTGGATCGTGAACACTCCATAACCTCTTGCAGCCATGAAGATACAAAAGGATTTTTTCCAGGAGGGGAAGAACAACTTAAGCGGTTGGTATCCCACCCACAATAGGGGTCTTTGGCAGCTAGACAAGCCCGCTGTGTCTTGTGGCGTCCACATCTGTGTACTGGGATGCGAACTACCTCACCATCCGTCCCCAAGTATAGTGAATTCTGGAAGTTTAAAATTGTAAAGGTTAGAATTGTTTAAACATAACTATCTTGCAATTTTATGTCCTTGTCAAGATATACTGTAAAAAGTAAAGAAAATCATTATTTGTTTCATGCATAAACTAAAAAAAAAAATTCCTCAATTGTATAGGATTTCAATAACAGTATACAAAAAGTGACTAGTACTGTACTGTACAGTAAATATGCAAGGTACTAACTGTATCTTTGAGGAACTTCATAGTGTGAATCACGACAGATGAATTTTTGGGGAAGGGTGCGAGGACCTCCAAGAGGCAGGTGTGCTGGGTGGTGGGCACCACACTTAGCTTTCTAATCACACCTCCAGCACCCGCCACAAACACAACGTGCACGTTACCACTCAGTCGAGTTGCAACTACATCCACCACCACATGTGTCAATCTGAAAATATCAAATTGTATAAACTTACAGGACCTCCCTGAATACAATCTAATCAACTTAAATCCTTTCTTATCATCTATTAATGCCACATATAATTTCCTTTATTTTTTAGAGAAGTTCTTGTTGATTGTATTGACTAATGAAGCAGATTATGATGCCCAACTTAAAGAAAAATTACCATTTTAAAGCTGTGTTATCCCATTTATCCCGTCCTCTACCATCACACCAATTTCCTTTTAACAAACACACTATGGAAACATTACCTTTCTTGATATTCAAACCATTATTCTTAGGTAGTTAGTTGTCAGAAAACACTAATGGACTTTATGGAGAAGAGTTGGGGGTATTCATTCATAAGTCATCATACTACAGTACTTTTAAAAACATATGCTATCAGTTAACTGAATAATTTATACTGTACTATTGGAAAATGATAATCCCTTATGTTTCAAAACAACTCAGTCATACTTTTCTACAACAGGGTGCTTTACCTTTCTGAATTGAGAAGGTAGAGAGGATCGGAGCCCTGGGGTTGGACTGGTCGATCCATTAGTTGATATTTGTCGGCAGCAAGGTCAGCCTCCCTACTGGCTGCCGAGTCATCACAGCGGAAGTGGCTGTTTTCAGCGGTTACAGGACCCCAGGTAGATGATGGATTTGGCTGGTATTTAAATGGTCCATCAAATGAAGCATTTACTGAACTCATATTGAAGACACACACTGCTGATCCTGTAATACTGTTCCTGTGATGAAAGAACCATATTAATCATTTTATCGGTGTTTAACATAAGAAAATAAAAGTGTTTTAATATCATTAGTTATTTTTATTAATTTTTAAATCTGAGCAAAAAGAGATGAGATGAGAAAACTCTTACTCTGCTGTAGAGAAGACACCATAGAGCATTTGTTCTCTAGGAAGGTAAGTAACACTCTGGACATAGTTGTAATCGAAGGGGAAGTCTCCTGGGACTGAGCAAGTGAGACGAGCCTTTAGAAAAGTTGTCCAATAATCCTTCAAGACAAGAGTTCCCCCGGCATCATTCTTGCAGACACGGCCAATCCTTGAGTATACATTCTGAGACGACAGGAAATATGGATGAGAATATGCATAAAGTACTAAAATACCAGGAATGCTTGCTTTATATTTTCCAATTATTCAGTCATCAAACTTCATTAAATATTGACATTTGCTCCAAATTAAACAATAAATGAGAGTACACAGTAGAAATTATACTGTAATAATTTCACAGGAGTACTGCATCAACTCACCTTTCCACAATTTAAATTTTCCACAGCATTTTCTCTGAAGATGGAATAGATAAATCCTGAGGACTCGAAGGAAGTGATAAAAATGGGTTCTGACAGCCACTTCAGGTCATACTGGTGAGTCCTGAGGTGTTTGCCTGGACCTAGTGATCGCATGAAGGCAGAGTATCGACCTGGCAAAAGTAAAAATTTTATCACATTAATTCTGGATCCGAAAAGTCCATGATTATGAGAAAAAATTTTTAAATAATGTATACCCAGTTACCCTTGAGAGTTACTAACACAGTAATGGTAAAGGCTAAGATTAAGGGTGCCACTTGAGCCTAAGTGTTTTAAGTTGGATTCTGCACATGGGTAAAAAAACATGATGTATAGTGAGGACAAGTGATTTCCTCTGAATTCAGTACTGCCATTCTAGTCATAAAATTATGACAATAAACTAAAGAGGTTTACTTGAATCAGTTGCACTGAGAGAAATATAAGTTACCTACCTGAGAAGTCTGTGGGGGTTCCAACATAGAGGTCACCATCAGTTGTGAGTAGTGATGTCACACTGTGGGAAGGGTCAAATGGGCAGCGGGCTACACCTTTTTCCCATGATTCAATGTGATTAATTTCTGACAATCTGAAATTAAAAATCATCCTCAAGCTCAAATTTCATAGTTGCAGCAGAACACTAACCTCATTTTTATGAATCTTATAACAATATGACATTCATAATTATCACTGGATTTATATCTCTAGAACAAAAACGGAACCGTATGTGTGTGAACATGTATCGTGTCTATTAGAGTCAAATACTGTATCTGAAAATACATTTCCCTGGTGCTTTACCTTCTCCAGGTGCAAAGAGGACTGAAAGAATTGGTTCCACAGACAAGAACACGACCACGATGTACATGTAAGACCCTGATAAAGTTGTGGCACGCCTCTTGGCTCTGGCCTTTGAGTGTGCAAGTGTCCACCGTGCTCTTGTTGGAAGCCCAATCTGATGCCTCTAACAGCTGCAGACCCACAAGACTCAGCCGGAACACACGGTCCCTGCAGGAGGAAGAGGTGTAAAGGATTATACAGTACACACCACTAGAAGGCATGACAGGTAACTGAACTGTTAAAGTTTTTCTTTTAACGGGAGAAAATGTACCAATAATAATAATAATGAGAGAAAAATTACATAATAGATAAAATATATTGTACTGTATCTCATTATTCACAACAATAATAACACTGAAAACTAACCTGGCACCGACTACCACTTGGTAGCTGGTTGGGTCAAAGAGAAGTTCACTGTAACTCTTTACACTAGTAATGCTAAATCTGTCAGTTGTAGCCACCAATTCTGAAATTGTTGCAAGATATTAAATACTGGAGTTCTTTTTTATTTTTTATTTTTAATTAAGTTTAACTCACTTTTTATCTCCAGATGACCTCAGAGATTATATAAAAGTCATTACTGTACAATGTATACAGTATTGATAAATATGAAGGAAACACCCCTATATATATATATATATATATATATATATATATATATATATATATATATATATATATATATATATATATACATGATCATGCGCACCTACACATGCCTCACTTGGAGAATTGCTTACCATTATAACCAACGTATCTTTCCCCAATATCTTCAGGTGGGGAATCAAGGTGTGTGAGCGTGGCTGGGCACGTGAGGCAGGCCAACACAGCCACCTTCAGTGCCACCGCCCACCACCTCCACCCCTCCATACTGTAAGTCAAACAGTCTCCTGTACCAAGGACACCTATGGTACTCGTCTTGGCGGTGCTACCTCTGCATGATGCTCTGTCTGGCTGGGAGGATAATGAGAGTTCCGCCCAGTGTTTACCTCCCACACATAGGCAGCAGGTGTGAGTCACAGTTCCCGAGGTTATGGAAGGGGAGTGGTCTATGGGCGACGAGACTCAAGCACGTTACTCTCAGCTGCTACCTGAAGCATAAGAAACACGAATTTAGTTCCACACATGTAAGACAATATCTTGTTTACTTATCAGGACATTAAATAAGTTAATTAACTGCTTAATCCACTAAGACGATATTACTAGATATGTTATCAAACAAGGTGGTGGTGTGCTGCCATGATACAAGTTTCATAATACAGTGCAAGAAGTTTGTACTGAACAAGATTAAAATCAGACAAATCGCTTAAAAGTTCCAACAGTGGGTTAATTATGGTTTGTTGGATAGTCAATAAAATAAATGAAATCTTTCTGTGTATGATCTGTGCGTATTAGCGACTGGAATTACTTGGGTCAGTGGCGTGAGAACATGCAGCACAGTCATAAGAAAGTCTGAAAAACTCTCATTTCTTCTCTTCCCTACCACGCATCATGACTTAACAAAAGTATTAATGTCATATGGAAGCTGTTTTTGCTTTTCATCTGAACTCAGTAATTGTAGATATCCATTTTGATGTTAAAAAGAATATCCGTGACTCCAACCATGTAGTAGTTGGATTTGATAGCCCAGTGTCACAGGTTGCAAATATTTACGGTCTTTGGTTTAATACGTGCTCCTAAAAGGTTTACAGAGGACTGATTACGTTCTTCACTGGCGTATTGCGTTCTCTTGACAGTGACACTATTCTCTAATTTGGATAATGACAAAATATTTTTTCATGCCACTACAACTCATATTTATACAACATAAACCTTTTAATATTAGCTTAAAACTAGCAAATATTTCCTCTTAATATTAGCTTAAAACTAGCAAATATTTCCTCTTAATATTAGCTTAAAACTAGCAAATATTTCCTCTTAATATTTGCTTAAAACTAGCAAATATTTCCTCTTAATATTAGCTTAAAACTAGCAAATATTTTCGTAGTTTATTAAGCCAAAGTAGAGGAACACGTACTGCTGCGTCACAAATCAAACCCAAAATTTGTGTTCAAGTGTTTAATATTAACATTCTCCCACAGCTCAAGCTGGTCAGAGAAGCGTACATTATGTCGGCGGCAAGTGGCGTCACAGATCAGCTGTTCGGTTTATGTCAGTGGGTGGAACCATCAATCTCCAAGAAAATAAAGACTTAACCATTACTAACCACAGTATTTCACACACGATGGGTGGACATATCTCGACAAATATAACAGACAAGATGGACAACTGAACCGAAAAAGCTGGATGTCGACTGCTGTTACACTTCTATAGAAGCAGTGCATTGAAAGTAAGTGCAATACGTCACCTAGCTATTCAATGTATTGTTGAAGTGACAGCCATTTATTTGATGTTGCTTTTAAAGACAAAGAACCTAGTTCAATTCAATTCAATTTCAATTGTTTATTCCTTGATAGAGGAAGCATCTGGCAAGTGTGAGAAGTATATACAGTATACATATTATAAAGGGGCTTACTAAAGCCTAAGGAAGGAAGGATATACCTTTAACACATAATCAATGTTATTTACATAATATCTGGCCAGTATGGGGAGGATCATCGTGTCTCCGTCAGGGGGTCGAGGAGTGGTGGTCCAGCAGGCGTCACGGAAGCGTTGTGTGTGAGGACATCTTAGGAGGTAGTGGATAAGGGTGCTGCTGTCGGGTCTTCTGCATAATGCACAAGAGCGTTGCTCAGGGGATGCGGGGATACTAATCTCCCAAGCAAAGTCATACCCAATGATGATACGGGCAGCAATCACGTCCCCTTTCCGCGACCCATTCCCATAGACATACGAGAGGTCAGGAAGTTTACGGAGGACATCGTACCAGGTGGGCGGGGATGAACCTAGTTACAGATGAGCTTTGATCCTTATCCCGGAGTAAGTAAGTCAAGGGTTTGGGAGCGATGATAAGCCCACACCACCACTCACTGTGACACTAGGCTAAGCTTGTTTTCGAAGTGTTATGATTATTAAAAAAAAAATATCGCGTATCCTGAAAACTAATTAGATAAGTGAAATTATTACCGTAGAGTAATAATGTTCGTATGCAAGTTAATCGAGTGATAAACTTTCAAGACTGCACAACAAATGTCTTTTAAATCTGGAGTAAATATGTGAATATCAGTTGGTACAAAACCTAAAAATCGGAAGTCGAAGTCATCAAGAGTCACGCATGGGTCGCTAGTCGCTACATTACAGTGACAAGACGTTAGTCACAAATAATATAAGGAGACAGAATTAACCCTTTTGACAAAACAATAATGTTGACAGTAGTACTCACTTTTTGGCCGCCATACAAAAATATTCGCTCAATACATCGTGGCTACAATAGGTTACCCAGGAGACGGGGTGATAGCCATCTTGAATCAACTGAAGTGCAGGCCCGACCACTTGTGTAAGTCACCAAAGTGTTGACATTAGTCCCGTGTGCACCCCTACCCTCCACCACAGCACTACTATCTACAACCGATAACACCCAGCTGCGGGGCTACGTGCTAAGATGCCCACTCTGTCGCGGCCACAATCACACCATTGTTAACCCATTGCCCTCCTCCTCACCCAGACAATCATTACTTCACATCCATTATCGTGTTGTATGGCAACTACGAACCTCACAGGTGCTCTTATGTCAATGGTTATTAATCGTTTTCATTATATTGTTGCCATTAATCATTCGTGATTTTTGCCATTAAGATGTACGCGTGCGTTCATCCTTCGCAAGGAAGAGCTGCTTGCGTGAACGTTTTAATTTGTGCAACATTACCATTAGATACACTGGGGAAATTTCGGCCATAGAGTTCTTTTCCAGTGAAAGAAATTTTATTCGAATGGAATTTTACCTTTCATCTGTGACGCAGAGCATACAGTATATACCTTTATGTTATCGTGTCTCCCTCATTATGCTGTGACCCCATATTTAACTAGCTATCTCCATCTATCTTTCTTTAACCCCTCTCATTTACCTCATTTCCCTTTCACCATCTGTTCAATCTCAAACCTGTGTGCTGTGCAAAACTCTTCGGCCTCAGACGTTTCGAGTTATATGTTTTCTAACCTTTCTAAACCGAGTGAGAGTCCTGGATCTCACCGTCCGTCGATCTTGTGTTACCGCCCCCTCCTTACCACTGTACTTCCGTTAATTAGTGCAGAAGCAACAGTACAAACACACTTCCTCCTACTCGTATCTTGGCACAACTGAGAAACGCCAGCGGCCCCTGACCTCCATGTGGAGAAGTATTGTCGAACAGGGGATAAAGTGTTGACGTCAGCCAACAGCTGTGTCAGTGGTGTCGTCCCAAACTGTGGTCGTCATCCAGCTCCCGGCATCACGACGAACGACCTGTTTTTGTATGGTTTGTCATGTTGGCTCAATCTGTATATCCACATCTTCCTCTCATCTATGTCTCTCTGTCGTCTGGCGTGAGCTCGTCCAGTGGTCATATAGACTAAACAATATTTTATCTTTCTATGTCCTTTCCCGTCTCTCTCTTTTTCCGCCCCACTGTCTTGCGCGCACACGTCCAACTGTCGTAGAGCACTGACTAAGCACTCTTTATTCTCGAGGCGTTTCCATCTGCCTGTCTGGCTCAGGGCTGTCTCTTGTATACGTGTAGTACTCACCCCGTCTCCTCGCTGACTGTAGGACAGAAGTACCTACTACAACTGACCTTACATCCTACTTGACCTAGCCTATCCTGACCCTACGTAAAAAAATACTGTATATAAACTTGAATCGATGGGTTTCTGTCCGCTCGTTATATTGATGCAATTTTGTCCACTAGTATCCCCCACCCCCCCCCACCCCCCCACCTTCCCACCCTCGTCTGGGCCTGTGTCCATGTCATCTCGATAAATAGCCCGTGGGGGTCGAGGAGGACCTTTCACCCGCCACCTGTTAAAACGCCACTCAAACACCCCATAAACATTGGCCTTTCTCTTGCCACGATGATACTAATTTGTTTACTACTACCTGGAGGACGAGGGAAACGCAGGTGCAAGTTCGAGGGAATGTTTCGTCACAAGTAAGGGAATGGGAGTAGACGGTTGTTGAGTGGTGGTAGTGGAGGTTGTGGGTTATAGTGAGTTGAGGTTAGATTGTTATGCGTGAACATTGAGTTATGAAGGGTGGAGGTCCGGTTGCACATGGGTTGTAGATGAGTTTTATTAGGTAAGGGACGCAGTTGAATAGGTGTTGGTTGTTGTGGACGCGTGGGTTGTAAAATACATTAGGTTGTGTAACTGGTTTATACTTAAGGTAGTTGATATGAGCTGGGTTGTAACTCAGCTTATAACTGGAACTGCTGGGTGTAGCTGGGTGTTTCTGTGAAGCGTCAGGCACGTGGGTGAGTGTCGTGTGGGTATTGGGCTGTGTCGTGTACACCTAGTTGTAGACAAGGGGTGGAGATATTATAATCGAGAGTGTATATGTTTATTTGTGCCAATTTAAGTGTGTTTATATGTCAGCTGGCTTAGGAAAATAAGGAAGGAAATGGTAAGATGAGAACAAAATCTGTGGTGGAGGTTGACGAAACTTCCTGGATAAATACTGTTACGCCAGAACGTCGACAGGTTAGGTTAGGGTTTTCACTCTCTTAAATATTAATAAGGAATGCAATAAGTAATCTTGGTTGACTCGTTAATGGGTATTCTCCAGATACAAACTACACGAGAAATTATATTCGAGATTATACTGTTGTCCGATTTAAAATTTTGTGTTCAAACAATAAGCCCGCGCATATCCAGCTTATTTACCGAGTATGTTCAGAAAAATATACTTAGTCCCTGCACTCACGTCTCTTCATTTGCTTTTCTTTTCTATATCGTCATTCTTACAATCACGCATCACTTTTAACAGAGTATTTTTCGTCACTGGCACTTGAGGGAATTATCTTGAACAATCTGCCAATCTATCGTTTGCGAACGCAGCTATGAATATGCATTAGGGGCTGATCATACCCCCCACTCTCTCTCTCTCTCTCCTAAGGGGTCATACCAGTGCCTTGAAGTCGGTACATTACTGTTTTGGAATCTCTGTGTGTGTGTGCGTGTG